GCCTGGCAGTCTCTTTGAGTTTGTCTTGCAGTTGTGTTTTCTGCTTGGCATCATGGAGAAGCTGTAGCTAGTTCAGCCTGCAGCTGGGCTTTTGCTGCCTGGTGTGATGAACGAGTCCCGTTGTGCCCATCTCCAGCGGAATCCACTGCCTTCTTATTTGCTGCTGGCTACAATTCAAGAGGCTGACTGCTAGCTATATCACTTCTGTGAGCTGTAAATAGAATGATACCCTCCTTTCCTATATTTCAGAATAAAAACCAAATGTATAGAGGCTTGAAGGGCCAGGAGTAGAAGACAGGCACTTTTGTAGGAGCCTTTGTCCTTGGACCTGCCTGTTTTGATGACTGTGGTAGAGCCATGGTCTTATGCTCTCCCTAATGGTGTGTGGTGGAAGGTTAATTTTTTTTTCAGCCCTAACAATTCATTATTGATTGATTTACTGAACAGAGGTATAGTTTAAAATTGCAGGTGTTCATGTAATTTTTAAACAATATCTAGAAGCTCTATGGCTAACTGTGTTGTCATGCTAGGTTTTACTTTGCAACTCTGTGGTTTGCAGCATAGGTGTCTTGTCCATAGCTGCATAATTATTTCATATTTCTGGGAGCTGTAGTAGAAAAACTCTATGTTTTGTGAGGATTATTTTAGGTGAAAGACCATGGTTACAAATGGATATGTGCAACTTTATTAAAGCTATCTAAATTGAACAGACTAAATTGTGAAAGCCCAGCAATTGGAAGTTAATCTGATAACTCATTCAAATATTTTCATTTACTCCATGATTTGTAGGGCAGTAAAGTTTGCTGTACTTTGATTTTGAACTGTAGCCTTTTGCTAGTGTGCCATACTACTGATTAGCATGGAGGCCTAGCTTCATCATAGAGTCATTTAGAATCATAGAATCATTTAGGTTGGAAAAGACCTTTAAGATCATCAAATCCAACCATAAATCATGTCAGACTTCAGCCTCTGATTGACAGAAAGACGTTATTTGGTAGGGAATTCATCTCAGTTGTCATCTGAATTGCTTTTCAACAATCCTTGTATCTCCATGTTGACAACACAGGTAACCTGAGCTCCTTCATTCAGGCACTCCTAAGTTTGAGAGGTGGATAATGGCTCTTCTTTCTTTATTTCATTTGTATTTCATTCTTAAGTGAAAGTAGATTCCACCACATGACTCCATGAGCTAAGGCTCCACTATTATGATGTAACACTACAATGCTGAGTTTTGGCAACACTGGTGTGGACCCCAAAACTAAGAACTCTCCAGTGACAGAACTTTTTGATTCCAAGAGGTTGAATCCACAACCTGTGTGTTGTGATACTTACTAATGCTACAGCAACCAGGAGAATTAAAACATCTCCAAATAGGATTCACATCAAGCAAAAGCTTGATGGGAAGCTGGCGAAAATATCCAAGTGAAAATTCTTCTCAGCAAGGTGCAATTTAATATATCCTTCACTTCTCTAGGACCCAGGAAGCTGTATCAGACTGCAGTTTACAGCCAAAACCCATTCCTGGGGTTTTGGAAATTGACAGCTGGTATATACTTTATTTTTCAAATGTTGCTTTGACAGGAGAAAACCACCTTTTATATAAGACTACAGGTTAAATCTGGGCACTGACCTTGGAAGAGAAATCCTGAGCACAAGTTCTTGTTTGCAAGTCATGTCTGGTTTTGCAATTTATTCATTCACTTCCTAATACAAAATGTAAAGACTGTCCTGGGATCAAAACCCAAAAAGTCATTCTTGCAGGGAAGATCTAAATGATTCACGTCAGTCAGATGCAGATTTGGATTCCTTCAGGTTGGATACAGATAGGCAGGTAGCCTAGGGGAGTGCCCTCATCATTGAGTTTCTCCATAAAATGACATTGTACTGCCTTTCCCTCCAAGCAACGGATTCGAATAAGGTCAGCTGTGGATGATTTTTTTTAAAGTCGGTGCTGTTAGCACATTAGTAATTTTCTGAGAGTTACTACTGGGTTAAGTCTTAGATATACAGATCTAGATTTGGCCTAGGTACACGCAGAAACAGCATTTTAGGTGTCATGGCTGCTTTACCGGAGAAAATATAGGTGCTTACAGCTTTTCAGCCAGCTGAGATGGTGTCTGAGGCAAGGCTTTAGACATCACTCTTAACTTAGAAATATTCAGTTTCCACCTGAGCCCCAGGGAAGGTGCCCATTTCAGAAGCCCTTTCTGAGTAATTCTTTCCTCAGAGCAACTGGTGGTTGCAGTTCAGCATAGTCATCGTCGGGTGCCTAATTTTCATTCATGAATACTCTCCACATTGGTGGAACTATTAGCTTGCTTTAATGTAACATATATTTAAGTGACTTTTTGATTCAGAGTTTATGCCAGGCAGAATTGCATCCTAATATACTGAGTGAATGCAAAGCTATCCAAAGCTGTTACGCTACCCAGGCGTCTGGAGTAGGACAGCTGTAGTACTTTCGGACAGAATACAGTATTGAGGTTTGGCTCTTTCTCGTATGCCAAAACAAATTAGCAGGTTATTACTATGCTTTTCATAACTAAAAAATAATAATGATGCCAGTTTGTCCAGTCTATCAGTCTGCATCTAGGAGTAGCCAAGTATTTGTATTGACATACAGTTTTTTGACTCAGTAAAGTAAATACCTGCTGCTTCATATGCTGTGGACTGTCAGAAACACTACCGTATGTGCCAAAGAAATGAGAAACATCCAGGTCTGATTCAGAGGTGGAATATGATTTGAAGGAATCTTGGTTCAGTATCGTAATGGATATTGTTTGGGAAAACACACAAACTGTGTTTCCGGGCAGCCAACCATCTCTAGTACGGAGGAGCATGGAATGACAAACAGCTTTTTGTTTATAGCAAAAAGAGGCATTGGCTAAGAAGTAGTGTTTATGGTAATTGAGCTTTACAAGGAAGTAAAAGTTCGTGGGGAACACAGGGGGTAGCACTTGCAGCGAAGCAGGTAATAAGGAGAGCTGTGTAGTCATTGCCTGATTAGCATCTGCTGTTTCAACAGCCGAGGAACATGACTCGCATGTAAATGCTTGCACTAGGCTTTAACAGGCATTCCCTCTAGCATGACACCCTGCCTTCTGGTTTTATTTTGAGTCTCCTTGAGCCCTACTGTGATTTGAAATCAGTGGAGGAGAAAAGAGAGTAACACGAACAACAGATGTCTTAAAGGCTTGGAACAGAGAGAGAAAAAGCCCCGTGGCAAAGGGGAAGGTGCAGTTAAGGTATTTCCTCTCCTTAGTTTTCCACCCCTGTAGTACAGACTGTATTTCTGTTTCTGCATGTGTATGTAAATACAGCTGTGCCCATAGGTGGCAAAGAAGTGGTAGTGCAAAAAGATGGCCATTGCACACGTCAAAGAATATTTTTTTTGCATCCTGTAAATGAGTGTGACCTATGGACACTAAGTGTACTTGCTCACAGAGACAAAGCAACCTATTTTAGGGCAGGTTCACAAATAATTTCCCAGCTGCTGCAGCAACTGCTTTTAGTCTGTTGCTGGATAAAATACACTTGTTCTTTTTATTTGAGGTTAAAAGTTACTTCATAATTGAGAAAGCTAATCATACGCCTGGTATCTGTTAAGACAGCTTTGCTTACAGGTGGTAACTTAAGCCATGGCAATACAAATACATAACATTAGGAGAACTTGGTTATGCACTAAATGACAGTTAGTGCAGATTCGGAAACGTACTTCATCTGTGGTTTCTGGTATGGGGAACTGTGCCTTCAAGGACTTTGATTTCCAGAAAGGAAACCTGTGACAGAAACAGCTGTGAAGTTCTTACACTATATAGGCAGCTGGGGATGGCATGGAGACCCTGAAAACATGTTACCTGCTGTGTGTTAACTCAGTACTGCATGGGGCCAGGAGCAAAAAGAAATGAAAGAAAAAAAAAAAAAAAAGAAAATTACTGTGAATGGAGAAGTGAAAATATATGACATTTCCAGATTTTTACTTCTTGGGAAAGATAACTGAAGGAAATATAAAAAAGAGGTTTCAGGGCTGAGAACTTTGTCCTCTGAAAGCTTAGCAAGCGACTTTCCACTTTCCCACATCTACCACCTCCTTTTATGTCTTATATCTTCCACAGGTTTCAGCAGATGGGTCCAAAGCCAGAAAATCACATTCACACAGAATTATTTTCTCGTGATATTTTAAATGTAATTTTATTTGCTTATTAACTTGCTGGGTTTTTTCAAAGGATTTTGGTAAACTCTGTCTCAATATATGTTCACACTGTTTATTTTGTTACTGTTAATTGTGTTATTAAAAAATATATATATATTTAAATTATTATTTGGCTACCCTGCTACAGAAGTTTGTGCTTAGGTTAACCTTAGTAAAGAGTTTAGGACAACTGCTCTGTTACTGAATGTGACTTCTGAAAAGCATTCCAGTTTTGGGATGAATGCTGAGGGTGTCAGTAGGAATTATTTTTCTTTGTATGGAAATTTGTACATCAAAATAGTGTTTTCCTGTGGTGTTTCAGGCCATGCGGACTCTAGGAAATTATATATATTTTAATATGCTGGTGGCAGCATTTTTAAGCATCAAATATTAGTTGTTATAAACCACAGAGGGAGTTTGTTGCTTTTAGTATGTTAAAAGGGAACAACTGTTTTCTCATTAATGCTATTTTTGCATAGACTTTCTTAATCTTTAAAAGGATATCTTATCAGAAAAATACGCACAATAATAATTATGCCTGTATTTTAAGTAATGGTTTTATGCCTGTGCCGCTTCCCCTCTACTTTGAAAATATACTATCCCTGTTGCACAGATGGGAAAACAGAGGCATCCACGGGATGCGAAATAACTTCACCTGGAGGTCATCTAGAGGAAGACAGATCTCCTGGTCTCAAAGCAGAACCTTATCATAAGTCGTATATTAAACTTATCAAGAGGTATTTGTAAGTTAACAAAACAGACGCCGCACTTTAGAGATATCATTTAACATTTACTTTTCCTCCCACAGGAACTTTTTACACCGGAGTGCAAATTCAAGGAATCTGTTTTTGAAAATTATTATGTAATCTACTCATCCATGCTCTACAGACAACAGGAGTCCGGGAGGGCCTGGTTCTTGGGGCTGAACAAAGAAGGGCAGGTCATGAAAGGAAACAGAGTGAAGAAAACAAAACCAGCAGCTCATTTTCTACCCAAGCCATTGGAAGGTGAGGTTCAGTCCATCACTGGCAGGTCCTCCTATAAATCTCGTAAGAAGAAGAGGGAATGGTTTCAAAACAGCCTTTGTGAATGTGCGTGCCCTGCACAGGGGCCATTCCAAATGACAGTCCCCAGGATTCATGGTGTGGTTTTGTGCTTCGGCATAGTGGTGCTAGAAAGGGCATGTGTAAAAACATTTTTTTCCAGGGATTAAGAGGTCATTTTGCAAGAAATCTTTTGTGGAAGTGCATTGTGCTGTTTCTAAAATATTCTCTCGGTAGGGACAAAAGCTGTTGTGAGTCTTGCAGTGAGAAAATAGTCCTTTCATTAAGCAGAATGAAATAATGGATATTGTAGGATAATTGGGAGTTATAAAGGGAATGGATGAAATGTCAGCATTTCAAAGTAAAAGCTTTCTAATACAAATCACAAAGGTCTCTTTATAAAATAAATCATACTGTATTACTTAGCCAGTTGATGTAATGCACATAACTTGTGTAAGTTGGCCTTTAAACCACGATAGAAGCAAATAAAAGTCATACTAACCTTACACATTAAATGATGTCACACATTCCCTGAAAAACACATTCATTTATATCTTGGAACTTTTGGGTTATCCTGTGTATTCTGCAGGCCTTTATAAACCTATGGTGCTTTTTGCTTCTTGTCCTGATGGCACTCCAGATTTCATTGATGATATTGCTACACATAGCCTCAGTCATTCTGAAAATTACCTCATTACTTAACATCTGAAAACACACACCTGAGTAATGATTTATCTAGCAGTCCCATTTCTTTTAACATTTTAACTTAAAATTTTTGATTAAAGGATGAGTTTGTTAAGTGTTTTAGAGCTTCGTCCTAAGGAAAGAGTCTGAATAATCCTATGTTTTAACTTTATACTTGAACTCAGGTTGATGAGTGCTTCCCTCATCTTGCAAGAGCTTACAGTATTTTCATGAGCTCTCAACAACATTGACACTTTATATGTCAATCCCTTTATATATATTTATATATATATATAATATATATATATTAAATTATAAGAATTGTATGGAGGGAAAGCCAGTGCATTTTTAAAAGCAATGTCAATTCATATGGATTAGGAAAGAAGTGACTTTTTTCATTAATGTTGGGAGGATCAGACTCTATCCAAATAGCTTAAACAAGGCTTAGAAATAACTTGCTTTACATTGCCCATGAGACTCATCAAATGTGACAGCTTTGGTATATAATTCCTTACTTTATAGTTCCATCTCATGTTATTCAACTTAATATTTTTGTAGGTCACAGTGCTATTTCATCAAGCTCTTTTAATTAATCAGCAAAGTGTCCTAAACACAGTTATGGGGGCACTCTGAAGACATAGATCATAACCAGCCCTATGTACTCTAGAGAAGACATTTAATTTCAGACTTTCAGAAGCCATAAAAGGATTTAGATTATGTCATTGGAAATGTTAGAACAAGTATTTGATTAGTTAATGATGCTATGGGGCCCTTCATATTTATTATGAAACTTCACACCATTGAAGATCAAGGTCAGTACTTTGATGCTCCTGCCTCCTACTCTAATTAAACAAGGGATGAAGGGATGGTGCTCTCTGTGGCTGCACACAGCCAGGCCCCAAATCATAGTGTGATGATTAATTCCTTTGACTGCTTTGACGTCTCTTTTAATGTTGCTCTGATATAAATAAATGCTAGTGAAGTTAGGTGTAAGTGGAAATATTACCTGATTCAGTGGCATGGAAAATGAAATTGAATTATCCAAGAGCATTAATCATTAAGGCAGCTTAATGCTGGGACTGTGTAATTGAACACATGTATTTTCCTCAAAGGATTTAAAGTGGTTAGCTAGGGACTGAAGCCCAGGGGAAAACTTTTAATTCCTCTAAGAATTCAGTTAATAGTTTAATTTGGAGTTTTCTGCACTTCTGCATTCAGTGGAGGTCAGTGGCTACTGCATACAATTTTTGAAAGAAGGACAAAAAAAACCCCAAAACTCTTGTGTACCCTCCGCAGCACTGTCCTGGACATTTCTTCAGTACACACCTGAAGAGATCATGGCCAAGCTCCTCAGATTTGGGAGACAGATGTACAAATAGCTTTGTAGAACTGGACCCAAGCCTAGTCTTGCAAGATAGGATTAAAAAAGAACACTTAAGTCTAGACAACTGTATCGTATGATCCCATTTGTTAAACACCATCTGTCTTATCTCATCATATTTTACTTCTAAAAACCTGCAGAATATTTATTTAAGGGGTGTGTATGTATATACAAAGGGGGGTGTATATATGTACATTTTTTTGTGTCTGCCTCATGCAAAGACAGAACAGTAGTTTTTCATATCCAAAGCTTCTATAGTTTCCATTAAACAAGCAAGCATACAATTTCCTACTCTGTTTTTAAGTCAGATACAGAAGTGAGAAATTTGGAGGGTCAAGCAAAGCTACCAGTAATGCAAAACAAGTGTCTGTCAAAGTAAATAGTTTCCCTCACATGCAAGAGGAACATGGATTATATTACAATATCAGTTATTGTAGAAAATTAATCGCATTTGAGGTGAGCTCTTAAATGAGATACATTCTTAAAAAGTCTCTCCTTTTCTCTTTTCTCCCTGCAGTTGCCATGTATCGAGAACCGTCTTTGCACGATATTGGAGAAACAGTGCCAAAGGCTGGGGTAACTCCAAGTAAAAGCACAAGTGCATCTGCAATAATGAATGGCGGCAAACCAGTTAACAAGAGTAAGACGACATAGCCAGATCCTCACAGGTGTTGTGACTTACTGAGTCCCGAGTACAGTTGAGCGATTTATCCTTGCCAGACTTCCCCTCTGCAGTGTCTGTGGATCAGCTTGCGGCAAGTCACAGACTTGCCCATTGCTGTTTCTGAACTGAGTTGTTGCAAGCGGATAAATCTCAACATGTAGCTCCACCCACAACAAGAAGACACCTGGATGAACCAGCTAAACTCAGACCATGGAATGCCCTACCAGATATTGGAATGCCTTTTTAATATCTTTTCTGTGACTGTGACACTTCATGTGAATGACATACTTCACAAGTACACTTGATACCTTGCCTGCTGACAATTGCCCATAATCCCTTTTTGAGTCCAGTTTCAGCAAAATCCATGTGTTTAAGTTCTATTTTGTAGCACACAAATAATCAAGTAATTTCTAGTTAGATGCTGTAAACCTGTGCTATTATGGATTTCTCTTCTTCCCTTTTTTATAAGGCTGCTCGCTCCACTGTCTGTGACCTTTTGCAGGGATTGTGTTTCTCTATAACTTAAGTGTTGCCGGTGGCTTAGTTTTGAAAGCAATCAGGGAATCAGGAAGCCTTCAAAAATCTATTACTACAAATTATATCTATAAAGAATAGGATTGTTGTCTCTGGCTTACAATATTGATTAAATGTGAATACTCTTTAGTAACAGATACTGTGCTTCTGAGGTTGGCATTATAGTGGAGGGAAGAGTGTCAAACACAACCAACAGGAAGTTTTCTGAAACGAGTGTTTGGCATCCCCCTATAGTTTCTTTTTGTGTGTGTGTTTTATACATATCACAGGCTTACTGGTAATGGTAACATTTGCCTTGCCCAGCGAGCAAGACCCACTCATTTTTGGGAAAGTGGGTCCAAAGAATTTTGTAGGCCTTGTAGGCCTGAATTAAGGCTCATTTTTCATCTACTAAATCTTCATTGTTTGAAAAACAAACACCACCAATTAAAAAAATAAATAAGACTAACCAGAATTGCGCTACCTAAATCCATTTCAAATATAATCCTTTCCTGTTTTTAAGGAACTGAACTCAATGCCATTGTTATTTTTGGCTGAATCCCACACCTACTTAGCAAAGCATGGGCAAGGATGTTGTTGTGTTCTTTTTTGCAGCACCAATGCAAAGGGTAGTTACAAATTATAGTTTAATATTTCTGGTGTTTTAAAAAAAAAGTTTTAAAACTGGACATATTACAAAACTTTATTTTTATTTTTAGCTAAGCATGCAAAGTCCTGTCCTATGTATCTCACTGATATCCCAGTACGTACATCCACCCAGCTTCCTAGGATAATGTGCCCACCAAATTAGTAGATTGAAGGTGCCTTGCCTTGATCTCTGTATGCTGTACTTTCTCCTACATGAACCTAGAAGAAATCAAAAACACTATAAAATTGAAGAAGCCTTGGATCATATTACCAGAAACACGATTAACACCTTGAGTTTGTCACCTGTGAACAATTAAACCAATGTTGGGGGGGAGAAGATTTCTAGAATGCCACAGAGATGCCACTGAAGTGTTGCACACTTAGCCACAGGCTTTCAGATGACTAAAAATATGGGTACTCTCTGTATGCTTAAGAAGGTATTTGTTTCTCAGAAAGGTCAAGGACCAAACTGTACCTCAGTCTGGAAAACTGTGTGGCAGTGCTCTCTTGGCCTCTTGCCATTACCTTGATATTTAAAGACAAAAAAAAGGAAATCATGCATTCCTTTTTTAGCATTGTATTTCTGGCAATTTGTTTTATCACATCTTTGTGCTGAAGTCCCTAACAGAGACCACTGGTTATTTTAAACTCCCTGTCTGCTCAGCTGAACAATTGATTCAGTCTGACTGAACTCTTCATGTTAGTTTTCAAATGTGTTCTGTTTTTATAAGCAACATTTAGTGCACTCTTCAAGGAGGCTATTGTAAAGCTGCTGAATTCTAGATAAACTTTTTGGTTTTTTCATAGGCCAGACTTCCTTGTTTATGTATGTAATATAAGAACAGCAAGCTAACACTTGATGTTGGGTCTTTCTAGGGAGGGAATGAGTTAAGCATGAAGCCCACTATCCATGTAGAGAATAAAAATACAAACCTACTCTAATACTGTGATAAAAATGCAAAGAAACTTTGAATTAGACTGTGCCCTTGCCTGCTAGCACTAAAAATGTGTGCATAGGAAAAACAATACTTTATTAAAAACTTCGGTGCACCCTTCTCATCCCATCTGGTCCAGTGGGATTTGTGCACCATCCCTGAGAAAACAAATCAAAACCAAAGCAACTCACATGGTGAGCTGGGGGCTTGCTCTGCATCTGGAGGACCCATGGGAGGCAGCAGCCTTGACGTTGTACTGTCTGATGGGTCACAGAGGAGGCCCCAGGCTTTCCTACAATTATAGGAGGAGCACTTCACAATATTTTGAGTGAGATAATACAGCTGAAGGCTACGTTCTCTTTCTCTCTCACCCGAATTTCGTAAGAGTTCATGAGGAGGGAATACACATGTTCATGACCCATTCAGCCATCTTTTTACTCTCCCAGTGTAAGAGCCTGGGGAGAGACAAGGCTGGAGACCTGGCTGAGCCATGCAACGAGGTTCTGGGTTCATGGCCTGAATACATAAGTAAGTATTGTTTTCAACTTTGAACTTTTGATCCTGGGTAATTATGATCTGCAAACCAGTTTGGGGGAATATAATTAAGGCCAGATTTAATTTTTGTAAACAGTTAGTACGTACTGAAAATACAGCAGTTCTTTTTTTCTTATTTTCTGGTTTTGTTTCTATGCGCTAAATCCATATGTGTGTTTAATCCAATGAGTAGATGTCCTAAAAAATATTTTTTCTACAATATGTTTAAACATAGCAAAGGGGTCTTTGTGCTTTGTTTCCTCCCTTTAATTTTGTCTCTTGTCTCATCTGTTGCATGGGAAGAGGATGACGAGGATGAACTGCATGTAGTAGGTTGTGTCTATCAAAGAACTGTTGGTCTGTATTACTAAATTTACATACATATATGCAAAGAGTTTGTCTGCATTGTACAGTTTGTGTTTATTCTTATTTGTTGTATACACAGATTCAACATGATGAATAAAACCTTTATATGAAGGCATACCAGAAAGCAACAAAAAAGTTTATGTAACAAGTAGACTGTGCAAAACATCATTGCACTGGCCACAGGATGGTGAAACTTCATGTAAATAGGTTGGCAAACTCAGTTCTCCCCTTTTACCATGCCAAAGAAAATTTTAGCTCCTTAATATAATACCTCTCTTGCTGTTCTCCAGGATGAGACTTCACCATTTTCTTCCCTCTAAAATTAATTTTGCTGTTAAGTGAAAGCTGTTTTCAATTGTCTGTTACTACTAAAGTACTGTATAGTAAACCTGATGGAATCAATTTGTATTTACAGATTGGGGGTTTTGTACTTACATGTCCAGCTGTCTGTGAATCTGCAGCGTTCCAGATCTTTTGCATGCTTGCTTTGTGTTTTGTTCTTCTTCTGGGTTTTATCTAATCTCTGAGAGACTGTTTGCACAGCAATCCAACCGCATCTTACCATTTCATATGTTAACACTGCACATAGTCATTATCTATCTCCTTCCTTTTTTTTCTAATCTGTATTTCAGCTACAGTTCTATTTGGCAAAATCAGTCACACCTGCACAGTTTTAGAAATCCAGTTTTGAGTAGATAAGAACTACTTCAACAAAGCACCATTTTGTTGTACTTCAAAAATTTTATAAATACACAAGAATCCTTATGAGATTGCTCACATGATAGAGCCTATAGAAAGGTGTCTATAGCTTTTAAGTGGTTTGTAGTTCACATTATATAGCTTTTGCTTAATTTGCTGGGGTTTTTAGCCACTTTCAAATAAGTTTTTAATATACTGTCATTTTCATAAACTTTAACTTGTGCAGAGTCAGGTTGGTTCTTAACAAATCCCCTCCCCCTCCCAAATATAAAGTAAAGCAATTCACTTTGACTATGGTATATACCTGAAACAACACTAAGAACTCTGACTTTATATATATATATATATATATATATGGAAACTTTTTCTCTTGGTTTAAAACCACTGTAACCAATAAGGTATGAAAGCAGGCAGTTTGAGCCATGCATTAAAAGTTTGATCCATCTATTCATTGGTATAAAGGAGAAATTATTCACCTCCATTCAAATGGGAATGCAAGTAAAATTAGACTAAGTAAGGAGTTATCTTTCTTTTAAATGCCCCTTTAGATAAACTCATATTCTGTGCAATGCATTTTAAAATGTCTAATAACAGGGGATTTTTTGTGATGACTAATGCAAATGCTATGACTTATTTTTAAAGATGTAATAAAATCTTTGTTCTATTACCTAGTCACAGAAATATTCAACTTAGCTTTCTTCATCCCAGTATCATTTAGTGGTATCATTTAGCTACATCATTTAGCTACAAAGTGAGAAGTCATTCTGTAAAGAAGCAAGGGCAGTGCATCAGAAATGTCAGAGCAGGTACATGATTAAATGTTCATTTACATGTTTTTAAAAGAGAGTACGGCCAGGGAAAAAAGGATCACAAGTAGGTTAATAATTTATACAAGCAAATCAATCCATGGTGACATTACAGATATGTTATATACAATAGGCATAATCCTGCAAGTCTATTGTAGAAGCATTCGGCACACTTCTGGATTGTGTTCTTTCTCTCACAAGAAGAAAGCAAACCTATAGTATCTTTTGTTTATAAGGTTTATCAATCTAGCCAGTATGAAATCCCCATTTATCCAATTTGTTTTTACCACCTAGAACTGCCTTTTGCCACCGGCCTGGAAGCAAGTTTTTACAGTCGCTAGGTATGAAGAATCAAGCAGTACGTTTCACTCCCTTACGCCTCTTCCTGCTCTTACAGTTTATGTATCTGGAAACCCCATCGCAGGGAATGAGGTGTAAAATCACAATTTATTAATACAGCTATTATTTTCACATATGTGGAATAATAATCTTATTCCTCCAGTCTCATTTTTCTAGTGAGGAAATGAGCCACAAAACAGATCTGCTGGGAGTTACATCACCAGTTACCTCAGCATGAAGAGCGGGGGGAATGTTCAAGCAACATTATAAGAAACAGAATAAAAATTGGAAAGGAATTTATGTATACATTATATTTTAGTAGTCTTAGTTAATACTTTAAGGTTTATAGTGATAGCACCATTTTGTTTGATAATTTACATTTTAATGAACCACTGACAGTAGCTGTCTTAGAATATTCTAGTATTTTTCCATATGTACCTTAACAAACAACTTGGATAACACTTTCTGAAATGCTATGGCTATGTAATCCATCCAGTAGCCAAAATGCTGGAGTTGATTGATTTTTAAAAAAAATTCTAACGAGAAATCAGAATCATCTTGTACTCTTGAAGTTTAAAAGGAAAGCAAATTACAAAGTAAAATGCATCAAATACGACACTGCAACCCTCTAAAGAATTCTTCTTTTGTCTATGAATAAGAGTACCTGAAATACCATGGCTGATCTACAGTATATATAAATCTGCCTATCGTGCCATGAAAACAGTCAAAAGCATCTACTGAACCTAGATAAGAGTTTTGATTATCTAGTATTTTCTTATTACAGTACTAAATACAAATGGAAGGAAATCAAGGAAAACTTTGTCTCTTTCATTGTTTACACTCTGATTCAGCAGACGAATGTATATGCGAAAAAAAACACTGATTATAAGATGATTCAGGTCAGCGGCATTCATAAATATACATAAAACCAACAATCTGTACTCTCTAGACACCAGGGCTGACAAAATGCATATATGTTAAAATTGAAGAAAATATTCCTGTTAAGCTCTACAGAGTTTAAGGGTTGTAAGTATAAAATATAAAATATAATTTCAAGATGAATTTTACTTTGAAGATTCTTTATAGTGTATCAATACATTTTAGAACTCTGCCTAATATTTTGGTTATCTAAAGAGAGAACAGCTAGCAGCTTTGGGATGTATGTCTCATTATTTATCTGCATAACTTCTATATAAGTTATGCATAGATGTTTGGTGATTATGTTCCCTGAGAACATGGGTTTCACAAGCTTCATTTTTAGAAAGAAAGAATCCATAAGAAAGGATAAAAAATGGGTAAGAGAAAGAGCAAGCTACATGGGAAGGGGGAATAATAAAAGTTATTAAAGAAATTAATTAAATTTTTTTGCATTCTATTACATGTTCTGTGCCATTGTATTTTCCAGTTTCAAAGTTGTCCTTTCTAAAAGAAAACTAATTTCTAGACTGATAATGGAAATACCTTTTTTGGTTGATATATAGTTCCCTTATTTCTGAGTCATGTACCTCTTAAAAAATCAGGACCTTGACACCTAAAGCATAATGTTACAGTTTGGTATTAAAAAGAAATATTCTTCCAACCATTTAAGCCGTTTCTTGCTCAATCATGGTTTCACAAAATGTAAACACTTTTGAAACTAAAATGTATGTATCTTTTTTTGCTCTAAAGAATTCAAGGGCTGCCAAATCTACATGTACAAAAAAATAAGAGACTCATATGTAAATAAGTTAGGGAAGTCCCAATAGTTGTGCATCGTTCATAACTCAATGTGAATTTCACACTGAGCAGCATTTCACCATTGGAAAATAAAAATAAAATTTTTGTTCATACCACTGCTTTGTTTGTATTTACTGTATTAAGACTTTAATTACTTTGTTGCCATTGTCTGAACATATTTGGCTGAGACCAGGCTACTGCATAAAATAGCTGATTTTTCAAGTCAGTTGACCTTCAGGCTCCCCACTTCTATAAAAGCAGTTAAATTCAATGAATACCATGTGTGACAGTGCAATCTGTTCCAAACAGTGATTTCTAATAGCATACAGAATTGTCATCCTAAAAGTTATTAGTATAACAAATTTTCATTTGCTTTACTTTTCAGAGGACTAGGCAACTATACATACATAAAACAGTATGATAAAAGTACATATGAGTTGCAGGATACATATTCAGAATAGGTAATCATACATTTATACATTTATTAGTTCCATTCCTTATACTCCTATAGGTTATGTATTCAAAAGTATCATAGTATCTAGACTAGATAACAAACTTACTGACACATTAACCACAGAAACTAAGAAGTTCTCTTGTGGACAAGGGTCTGATCAAACATTTTGGGTCTTCACTCTGTGGTTGACAGGTAAATAGACCTCAGTTATACAAATAAATTCTTTGACCAAATAAAAAAATAATTAATATTTTGCTAAGCTTCCTTACAGCTTCTCTCAATTTATGAGCTGGTGCATAATCAGGATTGTTAGAAAGAAAAAAGGGCCAAACAATGTATTTGTCAAACACCATCAAATTAATCAAATTAATTATTTGACAAGTATTCAACTAGTGTTGCTCTTCTACAGGAATATTGTTGCAAACTGATATGGAGAGGTGACAACCAAGTAAATAATGTTAAAAAAAAAAGGCTTTCTTACACCTTTTCCAAAGGTTGCTTAAAAGGCATTATGGGTGTAATCTCAGTCCCACTGAATTTACCAAAAAACCTCTGGAGAAGTTTCACAGGGCCAGTATGTCATGACTTCACCTTTAGAGCTTGGACTGTCCTGCTCCCAAGGCATTTTTATTTTTTTTTGCTTTGAGTTTTGTCATGCATTTCTTTAAGGAGCAGGCCCTCAAATGAGTGTTCTAAAGTATTTACGCCCATGCACGTGTGCGTGCATGCACACCCACACACTGGGTACTTCTGAAATTAAATGTTCTAGCAGCCTAAAGAAAAACAAACAAAAACCCTCCTCAGTCTTTGATGTCCTTTGTCAAGGGTATTCTCTCCCCAGCCAGATTTCACAAGCATTTCCATTCCATCCTTCCCAGCACTCACAGTTTCCACAGCTACAAACACCATTGCCTAGAACAGAATGAATAAAGGGCAATTATCATAATTGAAATGTACTACATTAAAATGTGTTTTATGGGAAGTAAAAAGCCATGCTAAAGTAGTTGCATTGTTCCTTTATTGTTCCCCACACCTCTTTTTTTTTTTCTTTGGAAGGAAGCAATTACTGTACCATCACATTAAGAAGCCACCCCAAACCTACACTTACAAAGCATTAATAGCATTCTCTCAATAATTCCACCTGCAGAATTGCAAATATTGTAATTATGCCACCACTATTTGTACCCAGCTGTTGAAGCTCAGTGTTCACACTGTACATCCAGGTACAAGGAAAAACAAGATTACTTTTAACTATTATGCAGAAAGAAAAAGATATTAAAAGTTACAAACAGAATAGCAATAACAGTATCACTTTGAACATGAAAAACTTTAAACCTAAATTCTCGGAAGTGTTATACAAATAAATAATATCTCAAACTCTCTATTGGATGAAAAATGTGTTGGCCCTATTTTGCAGCAGGGAAACATTAAGTACCAAGACCCATATTTTCATTTTATTTCAATATTTTTCATGACTCCCATATACCTGTCTTGAGACCTCTACAGCTTGGGTGTCCAATGTGAGCTCCTCTTCCAACTGACTTTATGAAGATCTGTGAATAGCCGCTGCAGCTGAAGATAAGGCTCCTGTTGCCTCTCTACTGGCTACTTGCCCCCAGAAAAGGACCCTTGCTAATAGGGCTAGCTGGAAGACACAATTTACTACTGTCAGCCCTCCCACTCTCACTCTAATCGGCTTGCACATTTCCTCCACAACTAATAATTGCTCAGCAAAGATTTTCTAAAATTAAGCTTTGTAACAGGAAGCAGTCAGTGAGTTAATTTAGCAATTTCCATGTTGCTTCTTGTCACTAGATTTGTCATGACGGTTTGTTGGCAGCCTGCCCATTTCTAGCCGCATCTGCCACCTGAACTCTGAGACAATGTTAAGGTGAAGCCGCTTTAATCACTAGCCATCACGTCATAAGAAAAACGGTCAGGTATTTCAGCCTCCCACTGAGAACTGTCTGATTGCCAGGAAGCTCTGTTAAGCCACAGAGCTGTACCTCTCACCTACCAAAGATCATCAGACAAGTGAATTTTGTCTATGACTTAAATGCATTATACACATAGAAAGTCCAGTAAGAGAACAAAAGTTAAAGAAATCTCATGATCACAATGCTGACACTGTACAGCCTTTGCCAAAAATCAGTAACTTGTAGTCTATTACAGTGAAAATTGTTGATGGATTTCATATCTGGCTTACTTATTTAAATTCATACTCAGGCTTTCAACTGTTGTTTTGAAACCTTAAGTTGATTATCACGCTGCACAAAGAAACAATTATAGCAGGTTTGAATAACCAGCAAATGCACTTCCTCCATCAGTGGAGAAAGAAGGAGCCGGGCTTTGTCTACCATGATTCCCATCAACACAGTTTGTTTCTTAGAGCAATTAAGTGTTAGCCTGTACTGCACCTGTGCAAATGAGACCGTCATGTTTGTCACAGTCTCTGTCGTCGCATTCACAGAAATCACCCGAAATGTACCATTCCTGTGATGAACAGATGCACTTTCCACAGTGGCAGGAACCTGAAATCACAAAAATTATTACTTGCAGTCAAAGAGCACTGGCATTTTCAGGCTACAAAATAACATCCCCAGAATACACGTGTGCACACATACACATACGCACAAAATTGCTGCCTAAGAAGCTATTGCATAAAAGAAAATAATCAAGCTAAAAGCTTTTTGAATAAAAGGATTCCTTTGGGGTGAGCTAGAGTGTGGTGGGACGTTACCACTAATGCTTTGATTCTGCTATTTCACTTAATCAGGACTCACATTTTGAAGCTCTCCTTTGGTTTCAGAGACCTACAATCAGGGCTAGTCTTCCCAGTAACTGTTCTTTTTTTTAGGACTAGAAAAGCTCAAATTGTCCCTGACCCACTGTTACTGAAGGCAATAAAATCGTACTCAGTAACAGAATGGCTCTCCTCATCTAAAGCCTTTAGGCATGAGTCCATAAAAGACCAGAGGTGCCTAAGACTAACATGTAGACCCCTGAAATCCTCATCACCACAAATGAAGCTGCTCCACCTCCCACGGAATTACTAAATATTTGCTCTATCAGTTTGCTCATTCCCGCAGAGTACCCCAATGCCCCTTGTTGGGATAAGCCGCTCTCTTCCTCCTCAGGGGTGTCAGGTCGCACCCCCACTGGCACAGGAGGGACTTTATGGTGACATATGGGTGATGCCGTAACCCACCAAGCACCACAAACCTCCCTTTAAGGGAGGACTCAGAGACTTCCCTACCTTCAGGAGAAAGTTGACGGCTCTGAATCCTGGACAGGGACAGTTGCCCCCAGACAATCTTGTGTCAGGAAGCCTGTAGCCTGAGAAGGGTGTGAGAGAGGCTTTTCTGCAACTAGAAATGCCACTGGGAGATGGTAATTCCTCCTGGCTGATTCCAACACCCAGCTGAAGAGAGCTGGCTTTTACAGAGCTCATCCTCAGCTGCCTGACCCTATACAGAGTTCAGACACTTAAACGCCAAGGTGGGGCACTTAGTAACTGCTGAGCAAAAATCCTTTTGTGGACCTAGCCCTAAGAACTGGTTACAGCACAAATCAGTACAAAAATCTCAAAACCCAAATAAATGATAACAAAGAATACACACATAGTTTTCAATTGTGGGGGGGCAGAGTTTTAAATAAAAAAGTCACCAAAGAAGCTGTCGACCTTTACCATAACATGCTTATAAATGAGTTAGATGCTGTTGAAAATCCCACCTTCTTGCAATATTTCCAGAATTATTCCAGTACAAAGTCACCTATGTGTTTAATGCAATATTAAAGCAAAATATATAGAAGGAAGCTTGGTCATGTCAGAATGTAACCTAAACAGAATTCATGGGTTACTTAACATGGCCTGAGCCAAAGTGCATAAAATGATGCTTTTCCATCTTTCCATTCCTTTCAGTGACCTCTGAATCAAATCCATAGTAAAAATCCAAATACACATTTAAAAAAAAAATGTGGATCCGTTGATATCAACCAATTTTCCCTAGGTTTTTCCCATATATACTGAAGTGTCTCTGAGCACTGAAACTTAATTCTTTAAAACTTCAGAAGAACCTCAGCAGAGTACCTAATTTTTTAATTAAAAATGTAAGTAATTTAGTGCATATTGTAAGTTGACAAAAATTAACTCATTGCCTAATTTTAGAGAAATGCTGTTTTAACTTGTAACATATGGAACATGTAAATATATACAGGAAGAGCTAGGGATTGGAACATTTGGGGAGGGGAGTATTTGGTTAAGCATCTACTGTTTCTGTGAGTTCTGAGTATTGCTTACTGAGCCATGGGCACAGAAAATACTGACATTCCCTACGAGGATAAAAAATGCCATTGGATAAAAAGGCAGTGGAGGATAGCACACATGTTGCATGGTTGCCATATAAGCAATACACTAAGACATACTTGAGGGTAATTTAAACCCAATGTCTCTGTTTATACAAACTACAAGGTACTGACAGCTGAAAATAATGATGAATAGTATGAGAATTTTAGTGAGATTACAGCAGTTAATAAGAGCATGACATTGTAAGAAATCTGAAGTGATTCTGCATAACCAAACACTGATGCTGCTACTGAGGGATGCCCACAATGTTTAATACTATTTTTCAGAAGATACGGCAAATTTAACACCAAGTCAAGCAAGGAAGATCAGGCTCCATAATGTAAAATCTGCTAGGGAGAATGACTGTATCAAGTCTTTCCCCTGAACAGAGCATGCTGCTCTGAGAGGCTCCTCAGTTTAATTAAAATGAGTCTAACGAGTTGCGGGGTGTTCCCTGGGATCCCAGCCAGATCCTCTCGGATGGGATTTGGCTCATTACCTAGCCTGTGTCCTGCACCGTTACAGTAGCCATCTGCAGACCCACATTTACTGCGAGGGAGGCAGCAGCGTGGTGGGTGTTGCTGTTTTCCTTGGGAAGAGCTTTTACTACAGGTGGCATAGTCGGCGAGCCAAGATTTTGAAAACAGCCTAGGAATGTGGATGTCCAACTTTGCTTATATTAACCGAGTGTAATTTTCTGAAAGTGTTCAGCAGTTATCTGCTGAAAACCAGGACTCTACTTAGAGTCTATTAAATCCTACACACAGAATCTCAAGCTCCCTCAATCCATTAATAGCGCTTGTATATCTTGGCTAGGTTTCAGCAAAGATGGCATAACCACCATTAGTGCATGGGTTCAAAATTCCCTTTTATTTGACCAATAATGGTTACTTATTGCTCAATGTAATGAAGCAGAAATAACAATTTGTCATTTTGGCCTCTCGATAGTGCTGGTCACGCTAGCTATGAACAACATTTTGAAGTATGGGTACCCAGTAAGACATGATTTCCAGATACATATTTAAGCATCAAGAATATATTTGCCTAAAAAAAAAAAAAAAAAAAAAAAAGGCAAAAAAAGTTAAGCATAGAAACAAAAGTTACAAGTAATTAGGCTGTCTTTGCCTGTGATCCCCATCCTGCTCAGAGAAGAGGCAGGAGATAGAAGCCTCCTTGGCTTTTCACTGGCCACACACTTTCAGAAGTTATCTTATGTAGGTATTTCTCTACTGGGGCAAGCACTTACATATGACCAGCTGTTCCCACAATAAAGCTGCTATAGCATCTAATTTGACACAGCTTTATTATATTGACTGTCCTCAGGGCAACCTTCTGTGACATTGGAAGCTTACCTGTGCTTGGAGGCCAAAGAAACTTAAAAAAAAAAAAAAAAAATCCCACCAGCGTTGCTGAATATAGATTTAGGGCCAGGTTTGTAATTCCCATAGAAAGTAAATGCTGTTCAACAGTGTGCTACTACCTTAGAAAATCTGGGCCTTTGGAGCCACCATTCATGCAGTCAGATTTAAAAGCACTGCCTGCCTGCAGCTGGTTACAACCTAGAGCAACATACAGGCTGCTTCAGCCTACATCGGTGACCAGATCCCAAACCACCCCCACCCCCTGGGCAGCATAGCCAACAGAGGGGAAAAAATCCTTGATGCCTCTGCACATTCCTGCCAGATTATCTGCTCCCAAAGCCTTGTAGTAAATTGTAGCTTTGATATACGTGGTCAAAGTAATTGTTCTCAGAGTAAGACCCGCAGGCTGGAATAAATAGCTCTCAGCCATCCTTACAAAAAGGTAGCAGATAATACAAATATTGTAAAATTCAGCATCCTTTTTCATGTATACATTTTTTTAGAATCTTATATAGTGCATTTCAGTGATTTTAAGCCTATTCACTCATCTTCACGGTTTATATAAAAAAATCACAGGGAGACCAAGGCTAAGAGAAGAAAAGTTAACTTCTGCAGTAAAACAGAGTAACTCCATTTCTCCAGTAACTCAGCATCCTCTTACACATACTAATTTAAAGATAGCCACATCTTCTTGAAACAATAGAGAAACAGTTCAGATTCCTAATTTTCTATGACATTTTGACAACTGAGGGGAAAAAACCCAAAATAAAATGGTGCAGTGTCAGACATCTGACAAGTAATAATACAGATGGAAGAAGGCCAGCCTGGAAACCCCATTTAAATTTCTGTTGCATTGAAATAAAAGTTACCAAAGGGACAACTGGAAATCTGCCTGATGTAGAAGGCTCCTAACTTTTTTTTTCCAGCTAGCAGGTTTCTTCCCTGTCTATGCAAGGGATATAGGAACAGAGGAACATGGCAGGTCCAGCCTGCAGTGGGTGCATTCTACAGCCTCCAGCCAGTCCCACCACACGATTTTTTGTCTATTCTCTTTCAGAGATATTATTTACAAAAGGAGGCAGTTTGCACTATGGGGGGGCTAAAAAGCCCTCTTTCCAGTAATGCAATTTCCTAGCCTGAAAGACTGCAAGGTAAGAACTTCAGAGAACAATTTTAGATAATTATCAAGATTTTCTAAATTTTATTCCTCCCTCTGGCAATTTTTTATAGCTGGACTGAAGCTGATGCAACCACCTGAATAAAAATTAGTAAATGAGAGAGTTTGTGGGATTCTGTCATGGGGGCTGCAGATGTCTACCTTTCCTTTGCTGCTGTGTTGGGGAGCAGGGGGGATTAAGCATACCAAATGTTGCTGTTAAACACCCTCCTCGCTTACTGTTGCCTGAGATATTACACCTACCATCTTGCCCACTGCAGTTTTACTGCAGGTAGTGCCTCTGTCCCTCAAACTGGATGGAGCACTAATGGTTAGTTTATAATGTACAGCTGTTCAACGCAGACCCATCAGATAAACACATACAGGAAATTATATGCTATTAACAAATTGCATAGGAGAGCAATGCTGCCAAACATGTACGGCTGTGGTGGGTGTTTGACAAAATGGATGTAAGTGCATTTACGGAGCCAAATATAACATCATTTTAATAACAGATGCCTTTGAAAGAAAGGGTTACTAAACAACAGCCCACTGCCATGCACATTATTCTGCCAGAACATGATCGTTTTCCTCGGCCGGGGCACTGACATGGGGTAGCTCAGCTGCCAGTTCTTACCCTTCCCTGAGCATAATATGCCATCCGCCGACTCGCAGAGACTTCTGCTCTCCTCCTCTGTCATGTTGCACTTCCTTGAATGCTGGCACAACTTTCCAAACCACCCGTCCTGGCAAACGCATCGGCCGCATGAGCAGATACCATGGCCTGTAACAACACCAAGGTTGGTTATGAGCAAAACAAGCAGAAAGCAGTGACTGTGGTCACAAATGAGATCATCTTCAGACTTCTGCAGTGTGAAGTGCATGCTATGGGACAGACAGACAGATAGATGGACAGCACAACTTCCCAGCAGGGTGGCCTTCTTCAGTTCTCTCATTCTTGTGTTAAACAGGGTGCCCTAGTGATAGAAAAGCATAGGCATGGCTCCCCTCGTCCGAACAGCTCAGCGTTAACTCAAATTTATGGGATGTCCCCTAATCCACGAGGACACACAACCCCTTCCCTCTCATGTCTTTAATCCTGCAGCGCAGCACTAAAGTCTCACCTACATATCCCATACTATCACCTGAAGAAGCAGACCCCAGCACAGGGCTGAGAGCAGCGCAGCACACAGCAGAACAGGCAAAGGAGCTAAAGCTGCAATCTCCACCAGCAGCCCATTACTGCTGGTTACCTGCCACAGCGCATGGAGCAGCTGATGTGCAAAGCCTGGACTCAACATACTTTGCAATTGCTATAGATTAACTCATACAGTTCAGGATGAAGATCATTCCCCCTGGGTCTCATGCAATTGCTAAAATTGGTTGTACGTAAACCTGACTGGCAACCTGCAAAGAGTTCCTCTCATCACCCTGACAACATCCTGTTTCTCTTCTGCATCTCTTCTCCAGACATAGCGATCCCAGCTCAGTAATTTAAAAGGTTTGGCACTTTCACTCCTGATACTGTAGTGAAATGCTGATGGAAGAGCAGGAAGGAGGAAAGGACCAGAGCACTCTCCAGAGCACATGCCTGTAGGACCTCAAGGCAGGACTTCGAAGAAGAATGAGCAGGCTACCATGGTGGGCTCTCTCCACAGGGACACATAGATTTCAATGCCCAGATCAAGACAAGAAGCCTGAATGAGAGGGAAGATGGACAGGCAGGAGGATACAGTAGTGAGGACATAGCTATCGAAAGATGATTACTAATAAGGGGGGAAAATAGAGGGAAATGAAAGGACAGAAAAAAAAGAGGGATGAGAAAAAACATAAAATAGAGGGTAAGTGAAGAGGAATAGATGCTGTTAGGGAAAG